CTTGATGGACATGCTGGGTTGCTTCCACGTTTTAGCTATTGTCACCCATACTGCTGTGAACACGGGTGTACAAATATCTCTTCAAGACCCTGCTTTCAGTTCTTCCGGGAATGTTCCCCGAAGCGGGATTCCTGGCTCACCCGGGAATCGTATTTTTCAGCTTTTTAGGGCCCTCCGGACCGTCTTGCACAGGGACTTGGAGAGAAGGAGACGCAGAATCCGCAGAATCCGAAGCAGGCTCCAGGCCCTGAGCTGTCAGCACAGAGCCCGACGCGGGGCTCAAACCCACAAACTGCGAGATCACGACCTCAGCTGAAGTCGGAGGCTTAACAGACCGAGCCACCCCGGCGCCCCAAGACTGGGTTTTTCTCAGTCAACATCAGCCAACACTTATTCCCGTCCTTGGTCGGAGAAAAGCCTCCTGCAGAGAGAAGGGCAGGGGTGAGCCGGCCCCTCGCCCACAGGTATGGCCTTGGCTACAAGACTCGGTCGAACCCGAGCCAGCCCCTTCGGTTCCCACAGCACAAGCAGCGACGTGAGCCCCTCCCCCCCTCCCCGCCCCCACTCCCAAGCCTCGAGGGTGACACGATGGACCCCACGTGCTGAGGGGACACGGGGCCAAGGGCTGCGCACCTTTTGTAGCGAGCAGCCAGCAAGCCAGCCCCCTCTGTCAGGGAGCAAGCGAGCAGTTATGCAGAAGACACGCTGTGTAGACGTGCGCCCAGCTACGGAAACTGCCGGGTGTCAGGGGAGGGGAGAGAAGCTTGGCAGCCCGGCGCAGTCAGCAAAGACCTGCAGGGGCCCCGGTGGCCTGCGTCTTCTGACACGACGCAGACAGTTCTGGCCTGGCCATTTTCACTGCTGTCTAATACTTCCCCGTGTGAACCCCACCCCCACCCCCTCCAAGGCTGCTTCCGGCCTCCCTGCCTCCCGGCCCAAGTGCAAGGCTCCCTGAGGGCGTACTCGGAGGAGAGCCTCAGGCCTAGGTAACGCTGCTGCGGGTCCTGCTTTTAGCTTTTTCTGTTCCTGGTAGCTCAGAGCCCTCAGGGAAACCCGCTCCCGGTGGCCGAGCTCACGGCCCCTGCCCTGGCCACTCAGATGCGGAAGCCACCCCAGATCTTAAGAGCGGGATCCTCAAATTCACCCAGGAAACCCTGAGCTGGGTGAGGTTCCGTTTCTGCCCCCTGGTGGGATGGGGGCTCAAAACAGAAATTAAAAGGAGCTGCAGAAAAAGGAGGGTTTGTTCTCTGCATATGCGAGTTTATGAAATGAGATTCTTACCTGCTACGTTCGAAAAAACAACAGACAACAGACGGGGCGTAGGTTGAAGATGAGTGTGTCCCAACTTGCTTGAGCTAAGAGCGACAGCTACCGCATGAATGTCCTCGGTTCAGATCCCGGATCTTTCCTTCTCTGCAGTATCTTTTTTTTTTTTTTTTTAAGTTAGCACCCCCCCCCCCTTTTTTTTTTTAAACGCATATTCATTTTTCAGAGAGAGACAGAGCGCAAGCAGGGGAGGGGCAGAGAGAGAGGGAGACCCAGAATCCAAAGCAGGCTCCAGGCTCTGAGCTGTCGGGCACAGAGCCCGATGCGGGGCTCGAACCCACGAACCGCAGCTCATGACCTGAGCCGAAGTCGGACGCTTAACCCACTGAGCTCCCCAGGCGCCCCCTTTCCTCTGCAATATCTTGAGTCGCGTTCGTGGGTGGGAAGTGTGTTCAACAGCGCGTGTGTGTGTGTGTGTGTGTGTGTGTTAAGTGCTAGGCTGTTTTGGTTGTTGTTTTTGCTGATTCGGGAGTTTAAGGAAGCCACCACACGTCTGAGGCTTTTCGTTTTTTCTATTTTTTTTTTAATGTCTGCTGTTAATAAAATATTTTTACAGAGACCAAAAAGTCAGAATAGTGCAAACCATCTCAACACCATGCATTCATGACCGCTTCTCGTTGGGTTTTAAATGTTTGTTCCAAGTCACGTATTTACAGAGACATGGGGGCATCTGTGCCGACGCCAGACCAACGGGATGGAATTAAAACAAACGAACGAACAAACAGCATTTTGATTTCACAGTTGCAATCACATGCTAAGAGAAGGTGTGTGGAGGAATGAACCCCCCTGGACTGCGTGGCCGGGTCTGGGGGGAGGGGGGGCGGTCTCAGGGTGCCGGGGTCAGGGGTGAAGCGTGGGTCCCCCTGGCCGTGTGGCCTGGGATGCGCAGGGGACCCTCCGCCTGTGACCTGGGTCTCGAGAGAGCCACCGCGGTTAGGCAGGGGTTGGGGAAGGGGGAGGTCTTACTCGACACCGTCAACTTGATTTCTCTCTTTAAAAAAATAAAAGGCAAAGAGAAAAGCAACACGTGTCAGCGAAGACGACTTTGGTCCTTGACGATTCTTAGGAAAGGATGTTCAGGGGGCAGGCGGTGTCGCGATACGAACCCGAACCCCCAGTGAGCTCCCCTCCCTCTCCACCGGGGCAGCAGAGTGTGGGGCGACTCTGGGCTGTCCCTGCTCTGCCCCGCCCCTCAGTGTCCCCATCTGCAAAACGAACAGCACAGGGTGTGGGGGACAGAAAGGTCTCTGAGGTCCCAAAGATTTCTAGTTGGGTGTTAAGTTTTTTGCATCTCTGATGGGGTCACGGTGAGGTGTCAGGCTCCGGAGCCTGAGAGGGATTGCGGGTCAAGGCCAGGCACCTGCTCGTGTAACATAAATCCTTCCAGGCTGGACCGGGGAGAGCCAGAGAGACCAGTGGGTTCCTCTTCCTTCTAGATCCCTGATTTCCCTTTCTCCCCATCTCCGAGTCTCTCTCTCTCTCTCCATCTCAAGGTCTCTCTGTGTCCTCTTACCTTCTCTCTCTCTCTCCTTCCCTCCTCTTCTCTGTGTCCTTACTCTGGGACACTGTCCCTCTTGTGGGGGAGAGGTGGATGGGGAGAGGGGATCGGCTCTGTCCAAGATACAATGTCGCACTCCCCCTACCCGACTAGGGGCCAGCCCTACTCCACCCTTTCCCTGACCCCTGGAAATCTAGGGCCAGATCGTGGCGTGAAATGGGTCCGAATACAACCCCTAGGCCCCACCAGGGCTCAGCACTTCGGGCCACCCCAGGTGAGGTGGTGAGTGGCCTTGGGGAAAACCCTGCTCCTCTCTGAGCCTTGTTCCAATACAGGAACTTCCTAGTTCCAGAGGCTTCGGGCCTCCAAGACTCGTTTCCTTTCCTCTCTCCCCCCCGTGTGTCCTGCGACCCAGTCACAGGCTGGCTGGAACGCCTTCTGCGTGCCCAGGTCTATGTGGGAGGGGAAGGTTGGTATGGCCAGACATGGATAGACACGCAGGCGGACCCTCCACCCCAAGACCGTTCAACTAGGCATACCCTTCCGTCATCCCCCTGTGCCCGGTCTGTGCTGGGTGAACTTGGGGCTGTCAAGAGGCCTCAGACCCCAGTCCTGGGGGGGGGGGGAGGAGGGGGGGAAGGGCCTATCCCATGACATCAGGGACAGAGGGGTGGGGACGGGGGCTGGGGAAGTCCTGAGGAGGAGCAGGGAGGGTTTTCTACAGGACGGGATATTGGGGATGAGTCTTGAGGGATAAATAGGAGTCCCCTGGGGGAAAGAAGAGGGAGGAAATTTCTAAAACAGCTCTAGCCTGGGAGTCAGGGGGAAAAAAAAATCATTCAACAAATACTCCCTGAAGCTCCCTCCATGTGCCTGGGCTGGTGCTGGGGAACTGGACACACACACACACACACACACACACACACACGTACGCACGCACGCGCGCACGGTGCGCGCGCGCTCCTACATACACGCACACACACGCAGGCCTTGACCAGAGACTCCCAAGGATCTTTTGGGAAATAAGTTGGCTCGCTCAGGCAGAAGCTCAGCTCCCCTTTTCTTGCTGGTCACCCAGAAATCCCGCAGGGCTCACCCCAAGTCACGTTACCTCCCCTTTGGCTGTTGGCTGGTGTTCTCAATCCACCTCACTCCCACCCCCCTACCCCCGTGGCCAAAATTTAAAATCTGCCCCTCAGTCCATGTGACAGAGATTCTCAGCTCCCCCCTCGCCACCTCCCAGCCTGCCCCTGGCCCCTGCCCCTCCCCCGCTGTCCTGTATGAGAACCTGCGTCTCAACCTCTGGTTCAGAACCTTCAGTCACCCACAGCTGCTGAAACTCAGGGGACATATGCAGCACCTCCAGGTAACGCAGGAAATGGTGCCACTTCTCCCAGACTTGTCCACGTGCCGGGAAACCATCAGTATAAACACACAACTCCCAGCACCTAGGACTTGCACATGGCCTCCTTAGAAATGCCAGACCCTTGGCCAGTGCACAGCAGGAACAACTGTACCCATCGGCCCTGGGCTCGTCTAAGGGGCGGGTTTTTGTTTTTTCCTTTTTACTCTATCTCCCAAAATCTTTCCAGGAATTAATTTCAATATCCCGAAAGCACACTCTCTCTCTCCCCTAAACTGCATTCGTCCATTCTCCATGAGGTAGCCAGAGGGAGCTTCTGACGCCTGAAATCCAGACTGTTCTCAGCTTTAAGATCTCCTGGGGCTCCCCAAATCTCTTCGGGTAAAATCAGAACTCCCCAGAGCAGCATACAAGGCCCTGCCCGGTCTGATATCCCTACAGGTCTCCCCGACATCAGCACCTTCTCCCTGTGGTCCCCCTCGCCAGCCACAGCGACCTCGCTGCGCTTCAAACCTGCCCACCTCAGCCTCCGCACCTACGGTTCCCTCTGGTGCTTGGTCAATCTGGCAGGAAAAGCAAACGGCCCCTAAGCACCCGTCCAACATGGAAAAGCAGATTCTGGGCAAAGACAAGCCGTGACAACCTTTACCAAAAGATTCTGTCTCCGTGAGCTAAAACGGGGGAAACTTGACTCTGGCCAGATTGCCCCACCAACGCCTGCTGGAGGAAGAGCTTCAGGCAGGTGGAGGCCCCTCCTGGGGGTATCCTGCGGCACGGTGCCTGAATGAATGAATGAGATTTTGGAGACTAAGCTCCGAGCATGTTGGTATATTTACACACACACACATATATACACACACCTAGAGTTTCTGGTCTCTTTCTCGCCTGCCTGGAGAATTCTGGGAGAGGAAGAAGGGGTTGGGGGGAGCGGTGCCTGGGTCCAGGGAGTCCCAAGCCCTCACTCTTTCTTGGTGGGAGGTCAAGAGTTCTCAGGGAATCTTCCCATAGGGTCCCGGGGGAAGGGCTGAGGGCTGGGGTCTTGCTTGGCAGCCAGCCGTGGGAGGGGGCAGTGGGGGCCTTGGCCCAGAACCCCCATCCCTTGTAAGGAACGGGGGAGGTCCCCTGAGGAGGGGTTAGCAGCAATGGGGAGCTGTGTCGGGTCATCCGATTTCAGCCCACCCTTAGATGGGGCACACAGGCCAAAGGGAGTGGGGAGAAGGTGTGGCACTGGGACCTTCAGCAAAGTCTCGAGCGGCTCTCTGGGCCGCAGTTCTGCCATCTGTTAAACGGGTGGGTTAAACTCTATGCCATGAGGATGGGTATGTTGGGGGGAAAGGAGAGGCAAACCCCCATGGGGAAGTGGGGGCAGTGCGGGTGCTTCAGAGCCGTCCACTTGGCCCCCAGGGTTTGGGCGCCCGAGGGCGCATGTGCTTTTGAAATCCCATCCTCCCCTCCCTCCCTGTTTATGTTTTGCACAAACATGAAAAGACACTCTGGTCCAACCTGGGCCCTCCAACCAGCTTTCTAGTGCCTCCACCCCCTAGACCACCCCAGGGGGCGCTCTAGGAAGCCCTGCCCCTTGCCCAGGGCCCGCCCCTCCAGGGAGCTGAGAGTTCCATACTTGGCAATTGGTCTTGGGCCCCAGGATTTGGGGACCCATCTTATGGCTTTTCCAGGGGACAGGAGGCAGGGTCTCCCCGTACCAGAGCCCCAGGACCTGGCCTCCTCCACAGGGGGGCAGGACTCCCTCCCATCCCAGCTCGAAAGGTCCCCTAGGCGCTGGGGACTTGGCTTCTAGTAGGGGATGTGGCTTCTTCCTTCATCGCGCCCTAGGGCGTGGCTGCTCGAGGGGGCGGGGCGTCGTCCGTTCACCAGTCCCTAGAGGTGGGAGCTAAGTCAAGGGCGCAGGCGCACTCAGCCCTCCGCGCAGAGCCCGGAGACTCGGCCTCTGGCAGGTCCCAGCGCACAGACGTCGCCCCGCCCCGCGCGCAGGCGCAGTGCTGCCCGCCCGCGTGCCCCGCGCTAGGGCGCAGGCGCCGCGCCGCCCTCCTCGGCGGAGCGCGTGTCCGACTTGAGCTTGACGAACTCCTTGGCCACCTCGTCGTTGCTGCGCTGTGACAGGATGCGCAGCACTGTGAGGCCCGTGTCGTCCATGTGGATGCGGCGACCCAGTGGCAGCCAGCAGGCGGCGCTCCCGCGCTGGGCCAGCTCCCGCAGCTGCAGCACGGCCAGCCCCACCGTGCGGTCCTCGCGCGCGAAGCAGTAGTCCTTGACGCACACCTGCAGCTCGTAGCACTCCGGGCCCGCGTCTGCGCTCAGCGTGCTGCGAGGGGGCGGGGCGTGAGGACAGCCCCGCCCGCCGGGCCACCACCCCCTCCTGCTGACCCCGCCTCCGCGCCGGGCCACGCCCCCGAGGGCTGGGCCCCGCCCCGCCCCCAAGTACTGTCTCTGCCCCGTCACTCCTTCCTCCCTTCTAACCCCCACCCCACCTCCAACCCACAATACCGCCACCATCCTACTTTCAGCCGAGGGCCAAACCCCGCCCCCACCCCAGGTGACACTTTTCCCAAGACACCCTGGCGAGGCCATGCTTCCACCCCGTCCAAAGCGCCCACACCTTTGGCCCGCTGAGCTGCTGCTCGCCACCCCGCCCCAGGCGCCACGCCAGGCTGCCACCTGAACTCCGGTTATCTCCTTGGCGTGCCCCACCCCCATACTTCCTAGCCCACCCCTCTTACCACTAAGGAGATCTGTCCACGCGAACTGCTCTCAAGCGTCACCGTGAGTGACCCGCCCCACACTCCAGCACGTCTCCCCCTACCAGCAGGCTGCGTCCCCAGTGATGCTGGGCTTCTGCCCCCAGGGAACCTGCCCTAATGGGCTATGCCCACACCGCTCCCTAGAAACACCGTCCCAGGCTGCATTCCTGGCCCTCAAGGACTAGCAGCCACCCCAGGAGACATTTGTCCCCCAACTGGATCATGGGCCTGCTCCCAAGCATTGCATCAGGTGACCTACCACTCCCAAATCCTCTGACCAAGAGACCTCTTCTTGTCCTTCAGGGGTCCCCACCTCTCCCCTGCTCTGATGCTCCCTTACCCCTCTGCATTTCTGTCCCCCAGGAACAGCCCCCTGCCCCCACTATCCTGCCCCAGTGAGGTTTACACCTGATCTAAATGTCTGCCCATCCCAAGTAATACCCTGATCAGACATATTTACGCTCCCCAGGTCATCTGCCCCTCTGGACCCTGGATGCTTCTGACTGAGCTCATTCTTGCTCACCAGGAAGCCCCTTCTGGATGTGACCCCACCCCCACCCACTTGACGGGCATCCCCATGCCCTGGACCACGGTCCACTCCTGTCCCCCAATGCAGACTCCTCCTGACCTGCCCCAGCAGTCCTGACAAGGCTCACTGCTGACTCCAGGACACCTGCCCTCATGGCCCTGAGACCCTCACCCACACGTTCCTTGCCTCATCATGATCGCTCATGGCCCTTAACCAGACCTGAGTCTCCAACCCCAGAAATGACCCTGCCCCACATGCCCCCTCTGCTCAAACTTCCCTTCCTCTTCATCAACATGTTATATCACGTTCACTGCCTCCCCTGGGAACTGCCTGTCTCCCAAAGTGGCTACCCCCATCCCCTCGCCCACGTCACTCCTGCACCGAGGCGCCTCACTTCCCAGGGCCCTCCCCTAGGATATGACCCCTCTCATTCCTGCACCCAGATACCACTGGCCCACCAGACTTCCCTCTGGCCTAGCGGGCCCTGAAATTCACGCAGCAGATGGCCCCTCCCCGTGATCCCCCAAGCGTCCTCAGACTCACAACTGGAAGCTCTCGTTGTACTTGGGGGCCCAGCTGTTGTTCTTGGACTTGGTTGCAAACTTGCGTTTCTTGTCGCTGAGCTGGGGCCCGATGATGTTGACCTCGATGAATGGCCGGAAAATGCCAGAGGTCTGCCACTTGAGGTCATTGGCCGCCACCACTGTCGGGGGGGGGGGGGGGAAGTAGAGGGTAAGGCTGTCAGGGTCCTCTCTACGCAGCCGCGGTTTTCAACGCCTGTCTGAAAAGCCCCACCCCCCGCAATCTTCCTACAGCTAAGCGCGGCCGCGAAACGGGAGAGGAAGTGATGTGTACAACTTTCAGGTTGGGGCTTAAAGGGCCAGGAGAATGCGCTACACGTTCTCCTTCTCCTAGCTGCAGGCTGGGATGCTGGTGGGTACTGAGTCCTTTGGTACCTTATGGAGGAGGAAAACATTAGAGATGAGAGTGGAATAAGAAATGCAGGGATCCCCAACACGGGAAAACCTCCACGTCAGCTCCGGGCTGATTGTCCTCGGAGTCAGAGAAAATCACATTCTATTTTGTTTAAAATTTTTTGGAACGTTTATTGATTTTTGAGACAGAGAGTGTGCAAGCAGGGGAGAGGCAGAGAGAGAGAGAGAGAGAGAGAGAGGCACAGAATCCGAAGCAGGCTCCAGGCTCTGAGCCGTCAGCACAGAGCCCGACGTGGGGCTCGAACTCACGGACCGCGAGATCATGACCTGAGCCCAAGTCAGACGCTTTACTGACTGAGCCACCCAGGCACCCCTCGTTCTATCTTGTTTAAACCAGTGGTATTTTAGGCCTTGGCTAAAACAACCGAGTCTGTTTTAATCTAAAAATAAATAAATAAATAAAAGCCAACAAAAAGAAGGCAGAGCGGAGGAGGGATGGAGAAAGTGGAATCCAGTCCCATCACACTGTTTGTACCCCTGGATCCAGCCATGCCTGAAAGAGCTTTATTTCTGGAATTGTTTAGTTTTATGAAATTTTTTTTTTTAATTTTTTTTTTTCAACGTTTTTTTTATTTTTGGGACAGAGAGAGACAGAGCATGAACGGGGGAGGGGCAGAGAGAGAGGGAGACACAGAATCGGAAACAGGCTCCAGGCTCTGAGCCATCAGCCCAGAGCCCGACGCGGGGCTCGAACCCACTGACCGCGAGATCGTGACCTGGCTGAAGTCGGACGCTTAACCGACTGCGCCACCCAGGCGCCCCTGAAAATTTTTTTTTTTTTTTTAATAACAACTATTTTTCTTGATTAAGCTCGTCTGAGGGTGGTTTCTGTCACAGGACTAGCGAATCCCGGAGAGGGCACTCTCCCTCCCAACTCAGACGACTCACCTTTCACAGTGACCTTGTGCTCCCCGGTTCCCGGATGAGTGAAGAGCTCCACGTGGACTGAAACTTCACCCACAGGGTCTTCCACACCCGAGCCTGGGCGGGGTAGGGGAGGATGCTTGGCGTGAGCTCCATTCCTCCCACCCGCTTAAGGGACCTGGACCACCTCCCACCCACCGTGTGCTGGCGGCACTGGGCCATCAGCCCTGACAGGGTTGGCACTGAGGGTGGGGCTGGGATGGCACGTGGTCTTAGGAGGCCAAGAACGCTGGGTTCTGCCCCTTCACTGCCTTGCTGTAGGGTCTCAGGCGGATCTCTTAACTTCTCTGAGTTTAACGCGCCTGCCCCCCGTTTTTCTCAGGCCAGTGATTGCCGCCTGGTCGAAACTCATCCTGGCAACACCTGACCCCCTAGCTGCCTGGGTTTCATTTTCTCCTTTGGGTTGTCACAGTGCCAGACTCTTCGGGTTCCCGTCCTATACACTAGCTGAATCCACCAGAGAATCTGTCCCACCTCCTTAGCCTCCATCCTGTCCCATCCCCCACCCTCACATGCCTGGACTGTTGCAGTAGCCCCCTTCTGAATCCTCTTTTCTCAGGACACCGGCCAGAGAAATCCTATTACGTTAGATCACTTCCCTCCTCTGCTCAAAAGCTTTCCATGGCCTTCCATGTCGCTCTGAAATCATCAAAGTCCTTTTTGTGATCTGCAAGGTCGCTCCCAATGTGTCCTCGCTATTCCCTGGCCTGCCTCTTTTCTCTCCACGCTCACCCTCGCTAACTCTGCTCCAGCCACGTGGGCTTCCTCGCTGCTTCTCCAAAACACTGTGATAACCTGACCCGACCCAGAGTCCTCACTTCTTCTGAGGCGACAGCTTGCAGGATATCTTTTCTCTCCCTCCCTCAATGCCATTCCTCTTTCCAATAGAGAATCTCAAGTTTCCATTGAGAAATACCCCCACACCCACCTCAGATCCTGGTATGGCTAAATGAGCCATGGCTGCCCAGAGCATTCCCTGGCCACAGTTGGCAGTGATCGGCTCAGGAATGGTCATGTGACCCACGCTGGGCCAATCAGAGTTAGCTCTGAGACTTTGGCTGCAACTCTGAGGAAAGACTCTTCGGTGCTAAGCTAGCAAGGCTGTCTCTGCCCAATGGGGGGAAAGCCTGCCTCACAGACGTCTCAACAGAGACCAGTGACCAAAGACATTGTTAGAGGCTCTGGATTCAGCTATTATTGGTGTCAGTGTAACCCTTAATCGTTCGGTTCCAGGCCCACAAATTCCCTAGTCTGCCTCTATTTCTAGCTACCAGGAATGCCCTGACTGATTGGTTCCGATGGGGGTCATTGAAGGAGTAGCTTAACACTCTCTGTCCCGTCCCTCTGTCTGTGGCTCTGGAAAGGGCATCCTGTGGGGCCTGAAACCTGTGACCGCCAGCACCCCCACCAGGCCCCTCCCCTGCCCCTCAGGAAGCTCCCCACACCTTGAGCGCCCCATGCATGGGGGAGGAAAGAGAGAGTCAGGGGTGGGTGCCCAAGGTTAATCCGGGTTACCTGGCATTGGGTAGGAAGTGACTGAGGCTCAGGGGGCAGAGAGGCCTGGAGACCCCCATCACCCCACTGCTGGGGCGTGCACCCCCCCATCTTTGCTGCCCACCCCAGGCCACCTTCCTTGTCATTTCAGGCTTCGGTCCCCCCTCCCCCCACCAGTCACATGCTCAGCCTCACCTCCCCCACCCCCCAAGGCTGATGCTTCACAGCAAGCTCAATCCGGGCCAGACTGAGGGTGCCAGGGGGGGTGGTTGGGCAATGGTGGGTGGGGTGAGGGGTCAGACCATGGCCAAAGCTAGTAAGAAGGGGGAGGAGGGCAGTGCTGGGCGCCCCCATCCCGTAGTTTGCTGGCTCCAAGGGGAAGGGTTTCTGGGGCTTCCCTGTGCGTACCCCAATCCCATCCCTCCCCGACTATCTTCCCGTAGGGGAAGGTTCCTTGGGCAAGTGGCTTAATCTCCTTTGAGACTCAGCTTCCTCATCTGTGGAATGATGGACCATCCTGGGGGGCAATTGGGAGAAATCTTTTCAAAAATCCCTGAGAAATGCTTCTTGGCACAAGCGCTGGCCCAGAGTCAGAGCCTGAAAACCGTTAGTTTGCTATGCTTGGAAGAATGACATCAGTAATAATATTAATTAATTGATTAATTAATCAATAATAAAAGTAACAACAATACACTCGCTGGGAGCTACTGCATGCATGACAGGTCAGGAACTTCTCTACATTTAATTCATCTAATCCTAAAAACAATCTTACGAATTAGGGCCCCTGACGGTTCCCATTTCACAGATGAGAAAGCTGAGGCTCAGGGAGGCGAGATGCTCCCTGCAGGCGTCCGGCCCGCCCAAATGGCGGAGCTGGGATCATAGCTCACTGGGATCTGAGCCCACTCTTAACCGTGCAGGCGCTGTCCGGGGGACCGGGATCTGGCTTAAGAGATGCACCTAGGAAGAAGCGGATTCCGACTCGAATCGCTTCTCCTTCCCCACGTGGAACCAGCAAGCCGTCCTTCCGCCTCATCCACCTAGGCCCCCACAGCCGGTCCGGCCTGGACGGGGCCCGGCGGGCCGGGGAGGCGGAAGGACGGGCCTTTTACTAGCCGGGGCCGGGAGGGGCGCAGGCACCGGGCACCGGGCGGGCGGCGGGCGGCGGAGGCACGTACCCTTCTCAGGATAAATGTCTTCACTAAGGGTAAACCTAGTCCCTTTTCCACCATGGACTAATCACGGGGGAAGGTGGAGAAAGGAGGGAAGGGAGGGGTGGGGGGAGAGACGAGCGAGCGAGGCGAGGATGGAGGGCGAGAGTGTACGTGGCGGGGAGCAGGGGAGGCGCGGAGAGGGGGCGGCGAGTGAGAGGGAGGAGAAACAAGAGAGAGAGAAACGTCAGCTGCAGACGGACGGACAGACAGCCTCCCGCTCCGGGGGGGGGGGGGGGGACACCAGGGACACTAAAAGCAGCAGCTTGGACTGGGCACGAAGCTGAGCACAGAGGCCTGACGCCCAGGGAGCGCCCCGGGCCCTGGGCTGACTGGAGGGCAAGGGGGCCGCTCCCCTCACCCCAGCTTCCGGCTTGCGGGCAACTCTCCCTCCTACCCCCCTGCCGGAGCTAAGCCTGGGTCAGCGGCCAAACATCTCTCCCTAGTCTTAGGGCCGGTTTTGAAAAGGGCGGGTCCTCAGGGAGGGGAACTAGGACCCTGGAGTCCTGCTCCCCTCAGCCCCAGCTGCTGTGTGGGAACTCAGAGAGGGACAGGAGACAGAGACAAGAGGAGAGAGAGAGAGAGAGAGAGAGAGAGAGAGAGAGAGAGAGAGAGAAAGCGAGAATTTGAGAAATGGAAACCCCCTCTCCGTCCACTCCTCCAGGCCGGGGCCCCGCCCATCCCTGGGACAGCCAATCATCCCTTTGCCGCGTGACGTCATCTGCCCCGCCTCCCCCCGCCCCTAAATGTCAACCACTCCCCGGACCCTGCCCTTCAAAGCCGCGTCCTGGTGCTTTCAGTCGCTCCCTGGTCCTGGCCTTTCAAAGAGGTCCCGCCCCACAGCTTTCAAGCCCCTCCTGGCCCCGTGATGTCATAGATTTCCCCCAGGAAATGCCAATCACCTCCTGGCCCAGTGACGTCAGAAGTCCCGCCCCCACGAGTTGTGGATCCCTCACTGGCCCGGTGACCTCACGGAGCTCGCGAGCGCCGGGAGCTGGTCAGTTGCCCCGGGCCGTGACGTCACAGAGGCGAGTCAGTGGCAGCCTCGCTGGGTAGGGGCTGGGTCGCCGCGCGCTAGGCCGCCGCTTACCCTGGGCCGATTGCGTCTGCACGAAGGTCTTGATGAGCAGGTCGGTGGCCTGCGTGTAGAGGGACAGGGCGTAGCGCAGGGACTGCAGGTCTGGGCTCTTCTCCAGGAAGGTCTTCTTGAGGCCCACGCCACCTGCGTGGAAGTATTGCTGTGGAGGACGGGGTGGGGAGAGGTGAGACCAGTTGGGCAGCCCCAATCCGCCCTCCCCAACTCCGCTGCTCTCCGGTGGTGACGCGCCCCGGATGGCCTGGGGGCCCTCAAAACACCCAAGTCGTGCTCTCCACTCCCCGACCTCCAACCCTGTCCCAAATCCACGGGTGGGCTTCCGGCACTCTCAAAGTAATACCCATGCCTCCCGCCTCTCCCCAAGCCTCTGTGGCCCCAACCCTGCAACCTCCCAGGCTTCTCTCCAAATGTCTTCCCTAGAACGTACCTGCCTCGGGGTCTTTGCATTTACTGTGCTCACTGATGGGGAGTCCCTCCCCCCCACTTCAAACACCCCCATTTTGCCATGGTGGTCTTCCTCTGGGTAAGGTCTCGAGGAGCTTTCCCTGACCACCCTCCTTACTGTGTTGCGAACCCTGTTTCACTATAATTCTCTGTTGCAGCCAAAAATGTCTTCTAGAGTAATTTTCATGCTTTCTGTGTCATGGAGACCACAGTGTTCTTGCACGGGCTGGTCCTCTGCCTGGAATGCTTTGTTTGCTTTGCCTTGTGAACGCCTACGCATTCCTCAAGACCCACCTCCCACATGCCTTCTTTCAGAAAGCCCTCGCTTCTCGGTTCCCGGGCTCCCTCAATTCCCATCCTCCCTTCTACCCGGCCCTGACCCCACGGAGCTGGGGCTGTCCCCCCCGAACCTAGGGCTCCTCGGGGCCCCGCCATCAGCCAGCCTGGAGCTGACAGAAGAGTCATCAGGGGGTGTTTGTAAATTGGATACATTGAGGTGGGTTCAAGCCTAAGTCACACGCTCTGCCTGCTCCCCCTGGGATGACACAGGGGTGGGAACTCTCACCTTGATGGTGTCCAGGGCCAGCTCAACTACTGCACACTGCTTCGGGGTCAAGCTCTTGGCTTCTTCTCGTACCATGTGGTCCTGGATGGATGGAGAGAGGGCCCGGGTGGGCAGACCCACCTTAGGGATCTGCCTGTCTATAGGCCTCATCCCTGTAAAACTCTGAGGAGTTGGAGAGTGGGTCTGTCTTTTCATCACGATGTCCCTGGTGCCTAGCATGTGAGTGGCACACAACAGGGGCTCAATATTTGTTGAATAAACGACATGTACCCTTGATCAAGCTGTATCTGAAGCCGAACTTTGCACATCTTTCCAACACAGTGGAGCAAATCAATTATGCTTCTGTCAGTCTGAGCAGGGTTTCTGTCCCTTGAGCATGTCACCATTCTGGGACCTCTCCCCCCAGGAAGCTTCCCCACCCCAATCTCCTGCCCCCCACCCCTGGCCTCACCTTGAGTTTAGACAGCTGACCCAGTTCTTTGGCTGCATTGAAGATCATCTGGGTTCCCTGCAGGTAACAAAGAGTCACAGCCAAGGTGAGCGTGGGGGTCCTCCAGACCAATCCCCACAGCCTTACTGACACCCCAGCCCTGGACACGATCTTAGTTTTTGTCCAGAGGCTCTGGGCAGGGCAATGGTTGTGTCCCAGGGACAGAGGCCTGGAGCTTCCCCCTCAGAAAGCGCTGAGGAGGAGGTGGTGACTTTGTCCTTGCAAATCCCAGTGTGGGCGCACTACCCACCCTCTCGCCTCCCTCAGGACCCCAGGTTTGTGGGACAGAGACGACAGAATGGGCAGCGAGGGGCCGTGGGTGTAGGGAGCCGTAGATGGTGTTTGTCGGTATGGGATGGGCTTCCCAGCCCCAAGTCAGGGGGTTTTGAGAAAACTGGGGGAGGGGCTCTAGTGACCCCCGCCCCCAGCCTTCCCCGCCCCCTCCCTGGGCCCATTCCCTGTGTGGGCGAATTTCCCCAATAATCTGGGTGGCTGTTAGTCTGACCTTGTAAAGGGAAGAATCCTCCCCACCCACACACACCTCGGTACCCATCCCCCACCCCACCCAAAACAGACACCAGCAAGATGGCATCCTGGTTATGGCCCCGATGAGCCGGGTGGGCCTGGGTTCAAATCCCAGCTCTGCTGTGTGGTCCTGGGCAAGTCACTTAACCTCTCTGAGCCTTCCCATCTAGTTGGGGGACATTGTATCCACTTCACGGCTTAGCTGGGGCTCAATCTGTCTTTGTTCAGTGTTCCCTGTTATTATCATTTGGTCTCAAGGTCATGAGCAGTGCTGGGGTCAATGGTCCTGCCGCCTCCGATCGCTGTGCTGGGTGACCTGCGGCATGTCCCCGGCCTTTTCTGGGCCTCAGTTTCCTTCCCTGGTTAACAGGGGCACCTACGCTAGCTTGGGGGATGGGGGAGGCCTAAGTATCAATGAGGTAATGAGTCCTGTGTTTACTGGGCCCTGGGATGGTGCGGGGTCCTGAGCAGGGCGAGGCAGGGAGGAGGGCCATTCATAGCTGTGATCGTTGGAATCGTGTGGAGGGTCGACCAGCTGGCCGATGGGAGCTGGCCCTCCGGCCACTATTACTGTTGTTACTTTCATCCTGGCTGTCGCTACTCTTTCCATTCCTTGTCTGTGATGACCGGAGGCTGTCATGAGGTACAGTGACTCAGGAGCCCAGCCGTCTGGTCCTTGGTTCCCCCTGCCACCCCCTCCTCCCCTCCTGCCTCCCCCCCGCCCGCCGCCCCTCGCGAGCAAACCAGACAGACAAAGGAAGAAGAGACCACGGATGGGTTCACAGTGCGCCCCCCGAGACGGCACAGACCACAGAGGTGGAAGGAGGCACAGGGTGGGGAGGGGGTGGGGGGGTGGGAGCCAGACAGACAGTGACGGGCTGGTCTTACATCTGAGTGGCTTGGCAATTTCACCCTGCCCTGTGGAGAGAATCAGGCGGAGGTCAGAGTTTGGGCGGCTGATGGGAGGGTGCTCACTGGGGTTTCCCTGCCCCCTGAAAGCACAGTTCCACTCCCCGGCCCACAAGCTGCCCTCCCCCCCCCCAGCTCCTGGATCTAACGCTGGGCCCCCTCCTCAGCTAGGCACCTTCCCTTGTCTCCCACTGGGAGCTGGGGGGCTAGACGCCCGGACTAGCCAGGAGGCTAGAACCAGCCTGTCACCTGGGGACAGCCTGCCCAGGGATAAGGCGCCTTGGGGAGGAGGAGAGGAGAGAAAGGGCTTGGGTTTCTCTCCTCCCCCAACTCCCAGGACTCTTCCCTGGGAACCCTGGCTCTCAAAGAAACGTACTTCTAGGTACCACAAGTTCCCTCAGTGTAGAGAAACGCACCCAAGCACATCCACGCAGGTGCAGAGAGTTTATGCCCCCTCATACACACACACACCTGGATCAGCATACAACACACACACACACACACACACACACACACACACACACTCACACACTAAAATACACACGTGCACTCCCAAACGCTTGCACACATGTGCACAATCACACACATCAACTCACACACTCTCACCCCCACACGGATGCACTTGCATGTAAATGGTGCCCCCCAAAAGGGCTACATGAGTGAGTAGGGAAGCCCTACAACCCATGTTCACGTAGCAGAGACCCCTCTTGTGCGCTCACAGGGATGACAGTTCCTGCGTGAATTGCACAGCAAGGGCAACTGTTCATGTGCTGCCACAGCTCCCGTCTCCTTACAACAAACACCCGTTAGAACAACAACAAAATCTACATGAACAACAAGGCATGTCTCGGTCGAGGGCCGCGGTCCAGCATCTGGGGCCCTTCTTGAAGCCACAGAATTTCAGCGGAACCCAGCGCTGAGATAAGCTCTCTGGGTCTTGTTATGAGAGGGAGGGAGCTGTTTGCATACATTTGCGTACACATTTGCCCACACGTGCACCCAGACTCCAAGCCATGTCCCTGAAGAATCAACTCGTCTCTGACTTCTGGTTTTGTGGGAGTTGGTTAAGACACCTGCCTTTTACCTGTGATCCCCAGCTGACCTTCCTGCCCATGCCAATGAACACACACACACACACACACACACACACACTCGGACCCCAGAGCTCAGGACCTCAGCACAGATGAGGCCCTCATTACCTTTTCTAATCCCTTGCCATGTTTTCTCAAGAGGGTGCCCTGCAGAGACAATGTCACAGGGTGATCAACCTGGCAAGCCATGTGGGGTGGGAACCCAGGGTGATCACATACGTACTCATGGGGACAGGAGGTAAGGGGCATCTAATACCGCACAGGGGGCTGATGGCTGGGTTGCATGTGTGTGTGCCTCAATGATCAACTCTTAAAGGCTGTAAGAGAGTCAGAGAGACAGGGAAGAGAAAGAGAGGAAAAACAGAAATACAGAGCCAGAGAGAAAGAAGTCACTGCCAAAATATAACCCATTTACGTTTACTGTATATATGAGGATCTTGTTGCTTGGGTCAACAGGAGAACAAATGGGCTCCAAATTCAGACAGACCTGAATTTGAAACCTGACTCTGGCCTACGTTTACTACGTGGCCTTGAGCAAGTGACTTCTCCTCTCTGAGCCTCAGCTTCCCTCATCTGCAAAATAGGAACAATAATATCCACCTCACTCAAAGGGTTGTCACGAAGGTGGCCTGTAACATCAGCTATGAGGTCTGGCATACAAGGAATCATCAATAAATGTGAATCCCTGGCCCCCTGGGTGGCTTGGTCGATTGAGTGTCTGACTCTTGGTTTCGGCTCAGGTCATGATCCCGGGGTCATAGGATCAAGCCCCACATCGGGCTCTGTGCTGAGTGTGGAGCCTGCTTGGGATTCTGTCTCTCTCTCTCCCTCTGCCCCTCTCCCCTGTTTATGCTCCCCCCCTTCTCTTTAGCGGGGACGGAGTGACTCCCCTTAGCTCCTTGCTGCCACCAAGTGGTTACAGCCAAAGATCTAGACTGCAGCCACCAAGAAGTGAGACGAGTACGTGCAAACTTTGGACAGGTGACATCTTACGACGACCTGTCTTGCCCACAAAGGGAGATCTCTGCCCTCCTATGTGTCTACATATTGCCTCCGCCAACAATAATATTAGCTCTAATTTTAGTGACCACACAGCCTAAGCTAGTCACGGAGATGAGCACTTTAATGCATCATCCCATTTGGTTCTCACCACAACCCTCAACAGAGTTACTGCAGTGAACCCCTTTTTCCAGACAAGGAAGTGGAGGTTGAGAGGTGAAGTGACTTCCCAAGGTCACAGAGAGAGTGGCTGGGCTGGGATTTGACGCCAAGATGGCCTGACACAAAGTCACGGATGCTACCTCCCACCTGGGTGCCTGGGCGTGTGCCCGCGATTCATGTGGTCGTGGGGTGGGACTGGGAAGGCAGAGGTGGTAGGAGGGTCTGCACTGAACAGTCGAGTGGGGACCCAGATGGTGAGGGCCTGTATTTTGGGAGGCTGCTAGCAGTTCAGAGCCCAAAGGGGAGGTCAGAGCGACTCCGTCGACTTTTAACCTCCTTCTAGCTTCAGGGAGAGACTGATAACCCTGCTGGAGTCTGAGAATATGGGAGGAAGGGTGATTTCCAACTAAAGGACGAGGTCAGATGGGAAGGTCCTGGGCTCGGGGTTTGGGGTTTGGGAGGCGGAAGGTACGTCCTCTCTGCTTATAACGGGGCGGGGTGGGCGGGCGTGGCCTCCCTCCCTCCAGGCCCCGCCCCCTCCCCATGCCCCGCCCCAGACAGACACAGGCACATCTAGGCGGGAGGTGGGACAGTGGGTGGGGGGCCGGTGGGTGAGGAGGGGGCGCTGGGTGGGGTGGGTGCAGCCACGCGGTGGGCCGAGTCCAGACACAGAGCGGACGGACAGACAGACGGACAGAAGGGCCTCTACTTACGATCATCTGTCAGCCGCGATGGGGGCGGGGCGGTGGGGGAGGGGGGAATAAGTCACCATGAGTCTCCCAGGAAGGTCAGGGAGGGGGCGGAGACGGCACCGAGGGGCGGACCCCGTGCCCCTGCCCAGCCCAGAGGAGGCAGGCAGGTGGTCGGAGGTCCGAAGCCTCCCCCACCAGGGTTGCCTCCTGGTGGCCCTGCCCATCCTCCCCAAGCCCCCCTCCTGTCCACCCAGGAATGCCCTCTCACTCCATGCTGTGCCATGAACCCGTGTGCCATTGCTGTCCTCAGGCCCCCACACCTCCCGGGAGGAACCCGCTCCCAACCACGCCCCACTGCAGAGGTCTCGGGTCCCCCACTCCCTCCTGGAAGCCTGATCCCTGGGGATCACGATCTCTGGGCTGTTCCCAGAAGGGTTCCAGAGGCATGGCCCTGGTCTCTGGATGAATGCTGACCTCTGCTTGACTTCTCTGACCTTGGATGCTCTCTGTGACCTCTGATTGACCTCTGGGAGCCCTCTGTCTCTGATCTTTGAAGTCCATGGTGTCTCCCCTCCTGGTCTCTTGATTGACCCCCCAAGAGCCCTCTGATGAACACACTGACCCATATGCCCTGTGTGATCCATGGATGGCCATGAGCCCCAAACTGACCTCTTTATTTTCTGGGTGACCTCTGACCTTCGCAAGCCCTCCTGACCCACAGGCGGCTTCTATGTCCCCTTAGACATCTCTTAACTCTACTTGACCTCTTCTTATATATCTGACCCAGGCATGACCTCTTTGACTCTTTGATGACTTTTGACCCGTATATGACCTCTCTGATCTTTGAATGGCCCCACTGACCTCTGAGCCCCAATGCCTTTGGCATCAAGTTCTCTGGGCTCCCACAGGGGAGGTGGCCCAGGGATCCCCTGTGGGCCTCACCGTCTGGTCGGTGAGGGGTGGCAAGACGATGGTCTTCTCCATGGTGTTCATGACCAGCTTCCATAACTCCTTCAGCACCCGCTTCAGCACCGTCTTCTCGCAGATTTTGGCAAAGAGAGTCAGGCTGGAAGTGAGGGGCAGATCTGAGAGACAGCCCAGCTGGCCCTTAACCCACAGAGCCCCTTTCCCTCAACAAATGTGGGAAAGGACTCCATGGACCCACCAGAGGGCACAGAGCCTCTACAGGGACCCCTGGATGGTCAGCCTGATGGAACTATGGTGTATGATACATGTGAAGAGTGAATGGCAGGTGGACGGGCCAGCAGGGGCCAGACTGGAAGGGGACTCAACACCTGGGAGGAAGGCCCGGGCCTTCGGATGAGGGCAGTGGGGAGCCATGGAGTGTTCGAGAGAGACACAGCCAGACTTTCCTGTTGGAAAGAACAGAGTGGGGGGCAAGCTAATAGGAAGGCTGGAGACTAGGGACTGTGAGGGGGCTGGGGCCATGCTCAGGAGAGAGAGGGAAGGGGAACGATGGGAAGAGGGAAAACAACAGGGGCGCCTCGGTAGCTCAGTCAGTTAAGCGTCCGACTCTCCGTTTCGGCTCAGGTCACGATCTCATGGTTTTGTGAGTTCGAGCTCCACAGCGGGCACTGCGCCAACAGCGTGGAGCCCGCTTGGAATTCTCTCTCTCCTTGTCTCTCTACCCCTCCCCTGCTCACACTGTCCCTGTCTCTCTCAAAATAAATAAATAAAAGTTAAAAGTTTTTTGGCAAAACAAAAGGAAGGAAAACAACAAAGAATCCGTGATTGGATGTGTGGGGGTCGAAGGAGATGGGGTAATCCACCGTGATTCACCCAGCAACTGACCCACCCATCCAAACTATCCCTCCCCCAACTTCCTTTAATGGCCCCTCCATATTTTTCCTTCCTCCTTCCTCCCTGGCTCCTTCCCTCCCAACCATCCTTCCACCCACCCATCCATCCATCTTCCTATCTCCTTTCCTTCCTTCTTTCCATCCTCTCATCTACACTTCCATCCACTTATTTCAATCGATTGATCCATTCGTCCATCCATCCATCCATCCACCCATCCAACCACCATCCACTCACCCTTACAAATATTTCCTCACCAGTCCTTCCGATCATTTACCCACCCATCTTCCCATCCTTCATACCTCCACCCACCCATCCAAACCATCCAACCACCACCCAGCAAACATGCCCCTAGTGTCCCCTCCAGGTCAGCCCTGGGTTTCTGAGGTCCCATCCCTGACCACCCCCTGGCCGTCTCAGTCCACCCAGCCCGACTCACTTGCTGTCCAGCAGGTCCATGATGGGTTGCAGTACATTGTCAGCGTCCTGGGCCACGCTGCTGCAGGCACTGGCTGGCACGTTGCCCGTGCCCTTCACCTGGCTGAGGATGTCACCCATCTGCTTGACACACTCCTCGATGTGTGGCTGGAAGCTGGGGGCACAGGGGGTGGAGCTCAGGCCAGGCTCTCCGGGCCTCCCAGAGAAAGGGTCAGATGAGGCCTCAAAAGCTGACCCGTGGACCTTGATGTTTTATCCCAAGCATCACGGAGGCATGGCATATCACTGAGCAGGGGAGGGGATGGTGTGGAATAGCAGAATTGGGCACTGTGCTGAGACATTTATTTGTGTTGTTTATTTCATTGCACAGTCCTACCCAGGCACTATTATCATCCCCACTTTATAGATAAGTGAAGTAAGATTCAGAGAGGTTGCATGACTCACCCAAGGCTATATAGCTAGTAAGTGGGAAGCCAGGATCGAACTCAGGTCTAACTCCAAGCCTGAAGTCTTCACCACTAACTACATCTGCTGAGTCTCTGGATGCCCCAGGCTCAGAGGTCTGGGGGCTGCCCCCTCTTGTCTGCTCCCAGCCCTAGAGGTGCCCCCACCTGGTAGCAAACACCCGGCTGAGCTCGTCCAAGACATTGTTGAGTTTCACCTGGAGCTCCTTCAAGATGTCACTGGCCTCAGCATCCAGCTGAGGAGGGAGAAGGGACATTAGATCAGGTTTACAGAGCATCCACATAAGTGGGGCATTTGCCCATCCAACCCAGGGAAGGAGATCCCAGACGGCTGGGGAGGAAACGGGCACAGATAGTGAAGCTTCTTGCTTGGGTCTGAGGGAGTGGTGGAGCTGGAATTCATCAACAGCCTCCAGGGACACGGGAGGTGGTGACCCTGCCCAGGCCTCGCCTGACCTCTTTTCCTCCCATGGCTTCGAACATCTTCTCCAGCTGCACTCGGAGCTGCTGGGTGTTGTTCATGAGGATGCAGGGCTGGCGGTGCAAACAGAGCAGAGATTCAGGACTCAGGATCCCTCCCCAGAGCCTCCCCCATCCGCTGCCGGGGACCCCGGGATGGTTTCAGGGTCTGGGTCCAGAGAAAGCTGGGGTCCCATAGGGTCATCTGAGAATGGAAGACAGCCTTGGGATCAGATTCCTGGGAATGTTGGGGAGGACGGTCTCTGGGGATTGGCAGGGGGAATCAGGGCTCAAGTAGCTCCTCCCCCGAGGGGGGCTGGCTTCTGGGAGTAGCAGGAAGGGGAGAGTTCTTGTCACACACCTATATTCTCCTACGTGGTCTCAAAGTTTTGCAAGCTCACATCCATACACCCTGAAGGTTTCGTTCACAACAACCAGACGGTGACACACTGAAGGCACGTGCCCTCACCTCCAGATCCCCTCAGACACACACACCAGGTACACGGACACACACAGTTGGACATACACAGACAGAAGTATCAGAGCCCAGGGAAGGATGAGCCCTTGGGGGTACAGAATGGGGATGGGAGGGGACAGGACAGGGACCCCCAAAGGTCACCACTTTCTCCTTCTCCTTGGAGCAGTAAGAGGCGAAGTCCTTGGAGATGATGTCTGCATACTGGAGGAGCACATTACTGATGGTCTGGGGAGGATACAGATGTGGGGGAAGAACAGGAGCTGGAGTTAGGCAGGCTCTTCAAGAGCCACTAGTGAGATCAGGGATGAACCCAAACCCCTATGAGCACTCAAGATGGACCCATTTGATGGGCGAATTCTCCACCCAGGATGACCATCACAACCAAGAGGAGACACCACCCGGTAAAGATGATTATTTTATGTAGAGCCAGCTTTTTCACAGAGCAACCAACCATCATACTAACCCAGCTCCAAGCATGAGCGCGACTCAACCCCAAATGGAATCCCAATTCTTACTTGCAGTCCTCAACTTCAACCCAGCCTAAAGCCAATTAGCTGGAACCCTCAAACCCAGTTGGATGGCCTTGACTTCCAAACTCACCCCAAGACCCACCCAAATTCGACATAAATCCCAACACTCACTCCAACCTCAATGCCAAATGGAATCTCAATCCCAATAGTAACCCTAAACCCAATCCCAACTTCAACCCCATCTTCAACCTTGACCCCAGCTCCAAATTCAACTCCAACTGTAACCACAACCCTGACCTCAACCTCAACCTCAACCTAAACACTGTCCTCAACCACAACTCCAACACTGATGTCAACCCCAACCTCAATCCCACTGATATCACCAATCCCAACTTTGACCTCAGTCCTAATCTTAACCCTGCCCCTGACCTGGACCGCAATCCCAATCTCAAGTGCAACCCCAACTTTGACCCTTTCCCAATCCCATCCCTCCCCTGGACTGCATTCCCAACCCCACCCACACCCCCGCACCTTGGCAAAGCGCCTCATATAGTGCCCCACGATCTGGGGGTCAGGGCACTCAAGTTTCTTGATGATCTCAAAGCTCTGGTTGAGCTGGGAGAAGACATCCACCACGGAGCAGGAGAACAGAGCGTGCTCTGAGGTCTGCTGGAACTGCAGGGGTGGGGAGGCCATGAGGGAAGAGACGGGTCAGAGCCAGACGGTCCCTAGAGTCCAACCCTCCCACTCTTCATGGGGAAAGCCAGAGACCAACTGCCCTGGGGTGAGATGGACACTGTGGAAGGGTGACTTAGAGGTGGACACAGAGACTATGGATAGAGAGAGTGGGGCTTCCAGCTGGACGAACTCTTTCATTTGTTGAGTGAACAAAAAACTTTCAAAATCAAGAACAAGATGAAGATGATAGTCACCTTTCAGAGACTGGCTTCATCTCAAGGGCAAGTTTTGCCTCCATATTGGATCCCAATGGACCCCAGAGGGAGCAAGACCACTGTGGGCAGACTAGGGGCTTGGTCATGGGTCAGTCTCCTCACCCCATCCTTCTTGTCTCGCTCCAGGGCCCCATGCAGGAAATCCCGGGACACCTCCTCATTCTCATCCAGCCACTGGATGACAAAGGGCTCAAACCACCTGGAACAGAGAGCAGGAGTGAGGTCTCGCCACCTCTTGTCCCCTGGCCCTTGCTTTGCCTGGTTCTGGATGGTACTTGGGCAGGTCCTCCTCTCCCTTGACCTCACCCTGTGGCCTCCGGTGGGGGGGCTACTCCCTGCTTCCCTACCCCACCAGGCCTCAGTTACTTCAGCCATGAAATGGACCTCATGACCACTGTCAGAGAAAGGCCCATACTTGCAGGAACCATGGTTCAGATAAACGACCCATGGGTAAGGGCATTTACTCTCTGGGATCCCATTACCTGTACAACAGAGGAGTATCTATCCCACAGTGCTGCTGTGAGCGTGAATGACACAACGTATAGTAGGTCCTCGGTAAATGGTGACCACCATCCTGCTCTCCAACACAGCCCATGAGTCAGACATCCAGAGTTCAAATCCTGGCTCCGTCACTTACTGGATGTCATCTTGGGCAAGTCCTTCGGCATTTAACTCTCCATTTCCTCATCCATAAAATGGGAATTATAACGCTCCCATCTTATAGAATCGTCAAAAGGATTAAATGAGAAAAGGCACATAGGACTGCTCAATGCAGTTCCTGATACTTATGAATATTAATTGGGCTATAGGAGTCCATAGTCTAATGGCTGAAAATAGAGAATACTAGGTTTGCACCCCACTGTGACCCTGATGCCTAGGGAACCCTGAGTAGGTCAGCCCTCATCTCTGGGCCTCGGTCTAGCTGTCAGCACTACAGTTCTGGCCTGGGGCAAGGGACTTACGCAGGGTACTCAGGCACGCGGTCCTTGAAGGCAGGAAGCTCTGCCACATACTCATTATATAGCCACTTGACCTTGAAGTGTAGGTTCATGTAGTCAGCACTCTTACACAGGCGATGCTTGTCATGCTCTGGTAGGGGGAGAACGGACGTGGCTCAGTAAGGAAAGTCTCCACCTTCTGTCTTGGCAGCACCTGCTCTGGCCATCACAGGTGTCCAACCTCAAGCTTGAGGGTCCAGGACACTCACAGCCTTGGAGGGGATACTGAGGCACAGCTACCTACTGTAGCCAGGCTGGCAGACATGGGAATTGTGTGTGGGGGGGGTACTTACCCTCCATGGCATACTTCATGTCCTGGGCAAACAGGTTCCACATCACTTCAGCACTGATTTTACCCACGTTCAGCTCCTGGGGAAACCTGGTGAAGGTCATGGAAGTATGAAACCTTGGCAGATGGAAGCAAGATGGCACAGGCTGCTTTGGCCTTCTGACCCAGAGGGTAGTGCAGGACAGGCAGAGGGATCTGGATTCAAGTCCCCTCAAAGCCACTGACTTGCTGAGTGACTCTGAACTGAAGCCCTGCTTCTCCCTGAGTCTCCATCCATCTATCTCTCCATCCCTCCATCCACTCATTCACACAGTCATCCATCTTTCTACCCACCCATTCACTCACCCATCTGTCTATCCACTCACCCATTTCTCCATGCATCCATCCATCCATCCATCCATTCATCCATCTCTCCATCCAA